CGGAATCCACCCACTTCTTTCCTCTCATACCAAGCCACATTTATTTCTCACCTGGACAGGTGCAGTAGCATCCTAACTAGTCTCACTGCTTCCACATTTGACCCCTGTTCCCACCTTCCCTCACCCCATGCCAAGTTCAAGTCCAGCAGCCAACGTGTTCCTAAAATATAAAACAGTATCATGTTAAAAACTGCTTAAAACCCATCTATGATTCCCCACTGCAAATAGAATAAAACCCAAATGCCTCCAAGGCATTCTGTCTGGCTTATGTCCATCCCTCCAACCTCATCACTCCATCGTGCACTGTGCCTCAGCTTCCCTGGACTTCTTTGATTTTCTCAGCATGGTAGCTGCCTTCCCAATTTAGGGTCTTTGTCTTTGCTGTTCCCTTTGCCTGGCACACCCCTTCACTATGCCTATGATCACCTTGTCTGGAGCAGACATCCCCCTTTAGTTTCTATCTCAGACCCTTGTTGGTTTCCTTTCTATGCCTTATTTCAAGCTACAATTGCTTTATGTGTTTGCTTCCTTGTTTATTGTCTTTTTTTTTCCCCCTCTATGGCATTTATCACCATCAGATGTCCCTCATGTTTTATTTACTTGCTTTCTTGTGGATTCTGTTTCCCATAACTTGAGTGTCATCTCTGACAGGGCAGGGGTTTTTGCCTTCCTTACCTGATCTGTGTCCTGGCACATAGTAGGTACACAGTAAACATTTGTGGAATGAAATAACATCTCTCTCATTTGAACTGAAGCTTCATGGGGGCCAGGACCTTGTCTTGCAGGTTCACTGATGAATCCCGAGACTAGTCTGCTACCCGACAGGCGGTGAGGTTCTGTATAAACAGGCTGAAAGAGTGAGATGATCTCAAAGCCTCCTTCTCTCCAGAATCTCTGCTTCTATCAAAAAATCCACTTCCCTCCAGAATTCCTGATTCCCTCCAGAATCTCTGCTTCTCTCCAGAAATCTGCTTTCCTCCAGAATCTCTGTACCCAATGCTTCTACCTCTTCAGACCTGACACCAATCTCCAACACACAGGGGGAAGATGGGAAAGCCCATCTTTCTGAGACTGGGTTTCAAATCCCTAAGGGGAAGAAAGCTTCCGACTCTGGGGATGAGGTTTCTGCATCATCAGCCTTGATCCTTTCACAGATCCACTGCCATACTCAACAAGAATTAAGGATCCCTTGCGTTTATGTAGGGGCTGCAGTTTACCAAGGCCAAAGTCCACAGCAAAAGTCCCCCTCCATGATGACTAGGGCTTCTGTCTCAGCAACACCCCTGCTCTGCCCTCCATGCTTACTATAGCTTTCTCCCTCAGCAAAAGACTGTCCTGTGTTTACTATGGCCATCTGCCTAATTGGCAAACATCTTTATTTCTGTTCAGTCTGTTTAGGACAGACTTCTCTTGTACTGGGGTTCATGTGGGAGCTCTTATGCTTACAAAACACACCCTAGAGTTTAGCAGGATTTCCAGCCCTTGGCGAGTGCTTCTTAAGTAGCCCTCATATCCATTCCCACCACCCCACCCCCTTGCTGCTGTTTTGGCTTCTCCCTGCAGTCTTCCTGGACATGGCCCCAGAAGGAGCTTTCTGATACCCAGATCGAGTCCTGTCTGCTCTGAACCCTTCCTAGGGCCCCTGTTACCCCCAGCAGGCAGCCCTCAGTGTGCAGCAGCTTTTCACTCTTCTCAGGAGCCCAGCCTCCTGGGCTTGCTCTTCGCCAGCCATCTTGCCCGGGGAGCAGCCATTCTACACAGGTTCAAGGTGCTTCCTTACCTGCAGACCCCTGCACCTGCTGTTCTCTCAGCCTTGTTTCCCTCCCACCGCTTTCTTGTGCTCATTCTTCTTCTTCTGTTTTTTTAAGATTTTATTTATTTGAGAGAGAGAGAGAGGAGTGGGGGCAGGGGCAGAGGGAGAAGCAGATTCCCAGCTGAGCAGAGAGCCCGATGCGGGACTCGATCCCAGCACTCCGGGATCATGACCTGAGCCGAAGGCAGACACTTAACGAACTGAGCCACCCAGGCGCCCCATCTCGTGCTCATTCTTACTCACCTTCTGGGGCCTGGTTGAAACACTACCTCCTTTACAAGGCATTCTATGACACCTCATGCTGAGCTGGGTACCCACCTCGGGGCTCCCCTGTGTCCTTGCTAACTCCCCACTATGGCACATATCCCTCTGTGTCCATGCCTGCCTTCCCACCAGACGGGGAGCCCATTGAAGGCAGGGACTGAGGCTGACTCAGCTATTTCTCCACTGCTCCCTGCAGGGCCTGGCTCCTGGGAGGCGCCAGCAAATGTTTGCTGTGTGAATAAAGGGATGATCGTTACCATTCCTCTGCTCTTCCCACAAATCTGCAGAGCTCGCTGCCTCACCTTGGATAGGTCTTTGCTCCATTGTCACCTTCTCCTCGAGGCTTGTTTTGTGTGTCTCAGCCTATCGATAACCAGTGTTGCGTCTGGACCGGCCCTTGTGGTTCTCATGATTGCAAGATGCCCTCAACAATAACCATCAGGAAACTTTAAAAAAAAAATAAAGTTGTTTTTTTTTTTTAAATTGGGGGCCATAAAGCGAGGTCACAGTGGATGGTGGGTGCATGGGTCTCTGGGATTCTGCTTTTATTGGGGCCCAGGGGGGTAACTAGGGTTTCACGGGCTCACTCTGTGAATTTAAAACATGAGTGGGGGAATTTAAAGCGTGGGAAGAGGGAAAACAAGCTGCAGGGTGATTTTGATTTACGGAAATCAGCTAAGGTCTCTCAAACAAAGGAGCCTGGGGGACAGGGAAGGCGGCCTGGCTCTTTATCTAGTCGTGTGCCTGGCATCCTGTTTACTGAGATACCCATCTTTGAAGTGGATGCCTTGGCAAGCAAAGCTCAAGTCAGTCACTTGCATTACAAAAAAGAGAAAACCCAACGTCAGGGCTTCCACTACGCCTACTTAAATGTTGGCCTGTTTTCATCCCGATTTATTGCCACCTGACATACTATATATTCGACTTATTTTTCTCCTTTCTTTTTTGGCCTCTCCCATTCAGGCAGGTGCTTGTTCACTGCTGACACGGATGAAGTGCTCAATAAATATTTGCGGAATGAATGGATGCATGAACACACAGGTCTTGAGGTCAAGGAAGGTTTCCAGTGGGGCCTTAATCTTTCTGCCAGACTGTGCCTCTTGCCCTTGAGCCTGGCTCAGACCAGGGAGGCCAGGGAGGAGGTGGCTGCAGAGCGCAGAGCTCCCACCTGGGCCGCAGAGAGAAACAAGGGCCACCTGATGCACAGGTGTGGGTACAGTGACCTCTTGTGGCCAAGGCCTAGGACAGCATCTTCCCAGTTCCCCTGTCGGGCCCTCAGGTCCCATGTGAGGTCTGAACAGTGGTTGAATCAGAATGGAGATGGGCTGTAAGCACAACATACATTCTGTATTTCAAAGGCTTAGTACAAAAAAATATATATATATTGTAAAATCTTTTAAAGTGTTAAAACTTTTTGTTTTTTTTTTAAAGATTTTATTTATTTATTTGACAGAGAGAGACACAGCGAGAGAGGGAACACAAGCAGAGGGAGTGGGAGCGTGAGAGGGAGAAGCAGGCTTCCTGCCGAGCAGGGAGCCCGATGCGGGGCTCGATCTCAGCACCCTGGGACCATGATCTGAGCCAAAGGCAGACACTTAATGACTGAGCCACCCAGGGGCCCCTAAAACTTTTTTAGTTTTAAAAGAACAACATGTTAAAACTGTAATATGTGGGGTATTTAGGTCAAATATATTTATTTGGGTCCAGTGAAATATATTATTAAAAGTTCACCTGTTCCCCCCTCCTTTAAAAAATATGGGTCTTAGAAAACTTAAAATTACACATTTGACTCACATTATATTTCTATAGGATAATGCTGAACCACGGGCGAACTCTAACCATCCATCCACCGCCTGGTGTGGAGGGACAAACTCCAGCTAGGTGACCTCAGGCCAGTTATGGAGCCTCAGGCTACAGCCAATGAGACCGTGGTGTGGATGAAATCAGATGATGCAGCCTCCGCGGTATGTACAGCACTCAATGAGAAGCATGCTGATTACTGTAAATGAGAGAGGCCATCGAATGAAGCGGTTTTGCTTATCCCGCTACCGGCCAACATGACACATAGTAGGTCCTAAAAAAGGGTTAGGACTCTCCTGAGCATGCCCAGAACCCGGCAGAGTACTAGGCAAGCAGCCCCCTGGTTTCTACTGGCTCTGGAAAGGAAAGTTGTCCAGTTCTCTCCTTTCTGACACAAGAGTTCTGGTCTCCGGACCCTCCTCCCTCAGACCCTGGAGTCCTGGCCCCAGTTCCTCCTTCTCCAGCCCCCCAACCCTCCTCCCTCAGTCCCAGGACTCCCGGCCCCCAGCCCCTCCTCCCTCAGACCTCGGAGTCCTGGCCCACAGCCCCCCAGGCCCTCCTCCCTCAGACCCAGGAGTCCCGGCCTCAGCTTCTGCGGGGTCACCGGTAACCGGTCCCGTCCGTCCCCCTCCCAACCTCACACCGAAGCCCGGGCGGAGGGGGTTCATTCGCAGCGCTCCTTACAGGCCGCCCCGCACTCCCCGCCGGCGGGGCCGGGCGCAGCAGCGGGGTCGCTGGGCGGCGGGGGT